TGGAGAAGTGGATGTAGTGCATCCTGGGAGGCTGAGGCAGGAGGACTGCAAGTTTTAGCCCTACCTGGAAATTTAGGGAGAAACTGCCTCAAAAATCAGAATGAAAAGGGGCTGGGGAGATGGCAAGAAAGTTAACCACATGAATGTAACAAGCATTTCCTCTCGATCCTAAGTGTTTTGCAAGGTACGCTAAAAGTAGGTTAGAAATGGGGTTCTTGTCTCCAAGTTCTAATTCTAAAAAAATTGTTGGCAATGAGCAAATCCATAAGCAGATAAAACTGCCAGGGGCAATCATCCTGTATAGCTCTCCTGTCACCAAAGTCGAAGATCGATCCTAGGCCAGGATACAAATGGCAACAACCATGCACCTCTGACACTACGTTGCCACAAACGCTGTTGTCCCAGGGATTCCTGCTCTTCAGGAAGATGGGCTGGGATCACGAGAAAACAGGGTCCACTTAGTATCTGGAAGACTTTTTTTCTTCTTCCTGTGACAGTTCTTGCTATGTAGTTCAGGCTGACCTCGAACTCCGGGCGATCCTCCTGCCTCAGCCTCCCGCCTGCGAGGCTTAGAGGTGTGCGCGACCACGCCTGGCTCTAGGTAATTTTTACAGCGCGGCCCCCGTCGGCGGCTGCGAGGGACGAACTGCTGACCCCGCCCCACCCACCGAGCCCACGGGCGGCCGCCCCAGGCGCTCCTCGAAAGGGAGTTCGCCGGGTCCTAAGGTCAGAGGGAAATTCACCCAGGTGTACGGTCCCACCGAGAGAAACGAACCTAATGACCTTCCCGGGGCCGCCGCAGGGACCTTCCCTACCACTCTGTGAGACGAGGAGGGGTCCCCAATGACGCTGCGAGTGACCGGACGAGGGGATCCGGCCGAGGGGCTTACCACGGCTTCACCGAAACCCCGGCCCGCACCCGCACGGCCCCAAGTCCTCCGGGAGACTACAGCAGCCCGGACGCCAGCGAGGGAAACACAGCGGCCGCGCGCTCATTGGCTGCAGGACCGGAAGTGGGTGCGTCAGGCGGAAGTGCTCCTCCGCGCGGTCCGGCGGCCGGGGCTCGCAGGTAGGCGGGGCCGCTGGTTGGAAAGTCTGGGACCCGCGGGAGGGCGGGAAGCGGGCGGCCCCTCCCGGTCTTTCGGGGCTGTCGCGGCTCTGATCGGGAAGAGTTTGGGGACGGCGGGTTCACGACCCACTCTGGTGGCAGTCGGGGCCTCGTCAGGCCGGGTCGCCGCGGCGCCCGAGCCCAGGAGCCTCAGGCTCGGCCCCGGAGGCAGCTTTGCGGCTGGGGCTTCCTCCTCACCCCGACCAGAGGGTGACGCTGAGGGCGATGCTTTTCCGTCCAGGAAAAGGTGTGCTCTGGGTTTGACAGTCGCCCTGAAGCTGTGTCCGGATGTCTTCCTAGGAAAACTTCGACAAAGGCTGCCTGAGGCGCCGTCCCCAGATTATATAAAACCCACACCCGCGTAGGAATAAAGGGTGTGTTTCGTAAGGGAATACTTTCCCGATTGCTGTAGGCCAAGTTCATACAGAGCGCATAAAACTTTGTTCAGGGTTTCCCTTTCCTCATCCAACCACGCCCCGGGGTGACTTGAACTTTGCGCCTCCTGTCACCCTGAGGAACCATTGCGCTTCCCTCAAGTTTACGATCCTCGGAATTTTATGATCGGAGGTCTGTGCGCTTTGAGAGCCGTCAACACTGCAGAAGTTGAGAGTTGTAGTCGACTGCTGAGCCTCTGCCTGGGTGGCAGGCTGCGAGCCCTGCCTGTTCTCGGTGACAGAGTGCATCATCTCTGTTCAACACTGGGGGGTGCTGGCGAGTCGGGTC